ACCCAACGCCCCAACACAAGCAACGTCACTGTTTTCACAGAAGGCATCTATGTTCATCTTGATCCAGTCTAGGGGCGACGGATGTCAACTAACTAACCTCACATTCTTTTGGCTAAGGCGATATGATAGCTTAGAACTGAAGCTGGAGGCCTGAAATGTATGCTCTATCATCCTGAAAATCTCATGTCTCAGCTCATCTAAACTGAGCGGCTGACCATTGAAGACCAGGGCGTTCCGTTGCTTCCATAATAACCAACAGGTGATGTCAAAAATCGTCCTCCAGTCCTGGAAAGAAGAGCACTAACTGTATTGATTCTTTAAATTTGTGCAGAGTCATTTGTCAAAGGTCGTGTGGAAGAAGGTGTGGGTGGTCATACACGGAATCTTCTGCCATAAAGCCTGTATTTGATGACACTCCCTCAGGACATGGTTGACGTCCTCGATGTCAGGACCACACATCGTGCAACCTGAGTCATCTGCCATATACCGTCGGACCCTCTCCGCACTAGTAAGGAGTCCTCTCCTAAGAAGCGGCCACAAGAAATGTCGAATACGTTGTGCTCCTGGCCAGCTCCATATGAAACACCATCTTTTATCTGCAAAAGAGAAGAAATATCAGAAATCATATGATATGCGGTTTTGGTAGAAAACTTACCATATGCAGATATGCCCCAATAGGGTACATCAGCCCCTAAGCCCTCCTGCGGAACCCGTGTCGTAGCCAGGTGCAGAAGGATCCTAGTTGAGAACTTGTTCTGTAACCAGTGTCAATTCCATTGACCATGTTGAGTGACCAAATCCCTAACCGTTTGAGTTTTGCTAGAATCGTCAAGGGGTTGGTAGGCAAGGAGCTTGAGTGGCCCGCAACCTTCCAACCAATTGTACTCCCAGAATCGTACTGTCCTGCCGTCCAATAAAAAATTAATTGACTGTGTTAAAGAAAATGAATTACATGAAGAGATTGTTAGAACATTAATTAATTTTCTTTATGTAGTAGTGAAAAAAAGAATATAGAATGGCAGTAAAATAAAAAAATAAAAAAAAAGGAGAAAAATGCAATTAAATAATGTAACAGCAAAATGGAATAAAAAGAAAGATTAATAGGCGATTATAATTGCATATATATATATATATATATATATGTTATGTATCTATGGTTTTATCAAAGGAAGTGTGATGTTATTTTTTGAAAATTCCCAATATATTCTTCCAATTAAACAAGGTCTTCATTTAGTCCCAAAAATTAAAACAATAAAATTTTTAAATGAATAATCGAAATAGTATTTATAGAATTTTTTGCAAGTTGAGTAATTGGTTTTAGAAATTCCTAATCAATATTTCTTCCGACAGTTTAACTGAAAACTTTTCCTCCATACAAAACAATTTACACAAACAGAAGCTGTTGATATAAATTCATCCATACACATTTCCTTCCATGTGTATACACTTTAAAAATACTCAGCTCATACATTTAATTATGGGCATGTAGCAGCAACTATATTTACATGCCACATGCCACATGCATGGTGCTGTTTTAGCGACAACTCACACTTTTCACGGCTCTTACGCAATGATATGGAATTAGTAGAGCTTTTTTTTTTTTTTTTTGTTGTGGTTTAATAATTAAATTTCCCGGATGTCTAATACCCATTTGAACTAATCATAAAAATAAGAGTTATGAATAGGTGTTAAATTACTAAGCACTAGTTGGTTGGTTAAATAATTAATACATTATATTTTTATTATAAAAAAAAAAAAAAAAAAAAAATCGTGGGTTTGAGTATATAATATTTGTAGTGTATATGTATATGTATATATTAAGATATGTAATTGACTTATTTTAACTGCTTCCTGAAATTATAAAAAAAAACAAACATAATTTTTCCAATTTCTCAAATGAATGATATATATCTCCCCCCCACCCCACCCAGAAAATGAAAGTTCGAAAGTTTGTCCAGCATTGCACGGCATCCTACTGCTCGGTGGAAAATAGAGAAGCAAAATTCTCCATTTCCTCCCTCGTCCTCATGGACACGCCAATCTCCACTCCCCCATTCCCATCTCTACTTTCCATCAAAGAAAAAGCTCCGGTCCCGTCTATAGAAGCAATCTCTACCTTCTTAGGCTTTCCCCAACCAAAATCTATCCCGTAAGTCCCAAATCGGGTTGACCCGGCAACAGAACCCAACTGCATTTCTTGTCGTAAGCTCATAATTTTTGACAGTAAATCTGGTACTCTTTTGGGAGCATCAATATCTAAACCTGAAACCAAATCACTTAAGTTCTTGGCAGCTGTGACGAACCCATCCTTCCCCATTAAATCTCGAGCGTAACCAAGACCCATCTGTAGTATAACGCAATTGCCGAAATAGTTTGATGGTACCGGAGGGTCTAACCGTGTCCTGTAATCAGCCGTGAACGCAGAGCATATGAGTCTGTCATTATCTCCTCCTCTAGCTTTAACCATGCAAGTGAACACATACGCGTATGTGATAACGAAGGTTGATAAGTGAAGTGGCCTCTTTACATGATCGTTTTGGACCAGCACCCTTTCTCTTAGTTTCTTGATATCTTCACGAGACAAACCGAATGTTGCTCGAACAAATTTAGGATCAATTTTCTCTAATGGCATGGTTTTCAGGTTTCTCTTGCTGGGATCTGAATCTCCCCCGCCGAAAGCTATCCACATGTTTAGAAACTCTGCGTTTAGCCCGGCTGGGTCCTTGATAGCACTCCGGTCAAAGGAGGGAATTAGATCTGCTGGCAGAGAAGCGTTTTCTTGATCATGCTTGTTCATATAAGCCCACGCTTTAATGAAACTTGCTATGGTGTGGCCATCAAGAACTGCATGGTGTGTACTAAATCCAAGGCTAAATCCTCGACCAGGAAACAGCGTTATTTGCAGCGAAATGATGAGCGATAAGTGATCGCCTACCGGCAATTCGGGTAATAAACTGTGCAACACGGTGACTTCATGAACCTCATCGGCACAGACATTACTGAAGTCTGCAGTGGACTCAGCGACGGTGAGAGAAACAGCGTCGTTGGGGGCACACGTGATGGTTGGCGTTGGGTCACTTGCGTCCCACTTGATGTTACCGGCGAGGGGGAAGTAGTGGACGAGAGCGGCGGAGAGGGAACGTTTTAGTCTGGGGAGGATATCTGAATAGAAAGATTCACGAGTTAAGTCGGCAAGTTGATAAAGAAAAACGCGTTCTGTGGGTGGGAACTTAAACCAGAGGGTATCGAAGAAGGTGAGAGGGAGAGAGAAGTGAGAGGGTGACGGAGAGGAAGGGCTGAGTCTTGTAAACTCGGTTATCATGTTCACTGTCTTTTCATCCTCCATCACATTACACGAAAAAATCTCTTTGTACTGCTGCTGCCTTTAATAACCCAAGGGCTGTATAGCGCCTAGTTTTGGATATGTATAACTCACTACATGTTTTATGATATATAAATAAATATCTTATAATTACTCCAACCAAAAAGTAGAAATTAGTAAATGGGTGCAGTTTTGAGAAGATAAGATTTTGTCCATTTAAAAAGTTGAAAGGAAATAATTTCATGAAAAGGGATGAACAGGAATTTTTTATTTTGGTGTCAAGAAGAAATGGGACCAGCAGCTGCGGATATATTGGTTAGAAAATGGGCAGGAATTTTTTAAAAGAAATATACATATACATATATATATATATATATTTCTTTATAACAAAACGTATAAAAACTTCAAACTTATGCCCGCAATATGCATTTGGTCTCGTTGATTATTTAAAGTGTTTTAGAATGATTTTGGTAAAAATAGTTTTATGATAAAAATAATAATAAAAAAAAACATTATAGTGTTCTAAAATTTACGTTAAAATTTAATTTAATATAAAATTAATATTCTATTTAATTTATTTTGTTATAGAATTAATACCAAGTAGTGAAAAGATAAATTAACTATTATTTTAAAAATATTAAAGTTATTAATTAATAAATTGTAGAAGTAATAAATATAATTTTTTAAAATACTATTTACATCCTATAACACAAATCATTTACGGAAAGTATCTATTTCTAATTTCTAATTTCTAATTTCATTTTTTTTCAACATCAGTTTTTACCTGAAAACATTTCTATTTTTTAGTATTTAGTTAAACTTCAACTTTCTAATAGCTAACGTAAAAATAGGAGTTTCATCAAATATGTTTTGATTTTAAAAATTATATCAAGATGTATGCTTTAATTTTAATATATATGTGTATCTATATATACTAAATTCTTGGTAACTTTTTTTAATTTTGTCATAATTATATAGTTATTTAATTAGAATAAAATTAGGTCGAAAGTGAACTTGTCACATGATGTATCAGACAACTCTTGTCAGAATAGTCATATGTGTAATACTCGAAATTAATTTTAAATATTTAAAATTAATGTATAAAATTTAATTTTTTAATTTATCAAATTTTTATTTAATATAAAAATTAAGAAAAAATAGATAAATGATGAAATTGAAAACAACTTTAAAAAAAATATGTGAAAATTTGGGTTTTGATGGTATTTTTAAAAAAAAAATCAGAAATTAGGAATCAAAACATAATTTAAGAAAAATATGTCACGTAAAACCACTCAATCAACAGTCCCAACGAACTGGAGCACGCTGCATGGCATGGCACGCTGACGCGGTGTCACGCGGGAGGCCACACTGGTGATTTGCATGCCTGCAATCGGACAGTCCAAATTTGTTCCCACGCGCGTGGACGGTCCGAATTCGTTTCCTCCTCAAATGCAATCGGGCGGTCGCGATTAAATGCGATAAACGGTCCATATTCATTCTCTCTTTAAACGTGATCGTACGATCCAGATCAAATCAGAATGAACGGTCTAAATTTATTTTCTATTTAAACGCGATCGGACGGTTCAGATCAAATGTGATTGATGATCTAGATTAAAAGGAGATAGATATAAATACTTCACTTCACACCAAACCCTAATCCCTAACCACCACCACAACCACCACCACCCCCCCACCCCCCACCACCACCACCACCACCACCACCACTCCCCCGCCGGAGAAGAAGAACCAATTGCTGGGAAGGGAGCCGACCGCCACCCGCCGCTGTGCCAGAGCCACCTTCGATAGCCAAAAAAGGTAAAAATTCTCTCAGTCACTTAAAATTTAATTTTGAACACTCTCATAGCCAAATTAGAGCCAAAGGATCGTTAGATGGGCTGAAAACTGCGAGTAAAACTTGGCGATACCGCCGCAGGAAAAATCAAAAAGGGTTTTTAACACCGATTTTTTATTTTTTGGAGTATTTTTAAGTACTTAGAGCGTGTTTTAATCTCCAAAAAAAAATTCAAAGAATCCAGGGACCACCAGTAGGCGCAGCTGAGAGTTTAACATTTTGGACATCGATTCGAGTAAGAATCTCTCACCCTATTTCTTGTTATGGAGTTGAAATTTAATTATAAATAATGTGCTATTTTGTACAATTTAAAAAATTTTGATAATTAATCACATGTTACTAATGGAGCCGGATTTGATTATTTATCACTGTTTATTTTGTTTTAATTGATTGATTGATTTTACAATTTTAAATGCACGACAATACACTGAAGTTGGTAAGATGATTCAGTTGTGTTTCCTTAATATATGTATTGCTTGTTTTGCGTGATTTAAAGTTAAATTATGAAATTGAAAATTAATTGTAAACGAAAAATTGTTTGATTAACTGAATGAATGAATGCGAGCCTTACTGAATATCTTGAGAGATGGTGGACGGACCGGGTGCATAGAAAATCCTACTGTGAACGTTATCTCATACCGAACGGGGTATCAAGGATTAGTATTTTGGCACTCATACTGACTGGAGCATAGGGACGGCCCTTTTTACCCTCATACCGAACGGAGTATTGATGGATGGTATTTTGGTGCTCATACCGAATAGGGTATGGAGATGGCCGGTTAGTTAACAATGTTGAATAAGGGTTCACGCCTAATGGGGACATCCCTATGGACCCCCATGGATACCAATAGGTAGATAAAAATAGAAAGTTATTGTTTTAGTTAATTTAAATACGAGATTATGATATTGTTGTGTTATTGCCTCTATAGGTCAGTTTTAAAAATTTCGTCACGGCAAGTGTACAATAAATGATTTTATTTACAATAAATAAATTTACTTAAATTAAGAGCTCTATTAGTTGTTTTCATGATTTTTTCCAATCTTCATTTCTGTATCGGTGAGTAGTTTGACATCTTATTAGACTAGTGTAACTCATCTTTTTATTACTATTTCATATCAATATGACCAAGATCCGGATCTCGATCCACAAGATGGTTGTAAATAGAACGTTCAATTATTTACTTTCTTTTTATTTCTTTGATTTTTTGTTGTTCTTCTAAAATGGTCATTTTTGTAATTTTATTAGATATTCTGAATTATTATGTAAAAAATGTGAATCATAACGCTATTATTTCGTTTTCGCATTCAATTTATAATTTATTTCCTTTTATATTCTGGGATGTTACAATTTGTGACATCCTCATTATGTTATGCAGATGACATTTTTGTCTACCTTAATCTTTAGTTATTTGGATAGACGAAGAGATAAGTCTTTAATTATATAGATATACTTAATATAAATTTTCTCTAAAGCTCTAGAGTTACTTATTTAAAACTTCATCTAGTCAAATAGAGTAGTTTTTGTCAAGCTAAGAAGATGGATTAAGTTGGATTTTGTAAGATGAAGGAGAATAATGGTGATTATCTTTTGAAACTGAAAAAGATGTTACCTAAGGAATTTACAAGTGCTTGAGACTGGATACTAAAAATAAAATACTTTTCCAACAATAAAATCTTTGACTTGGCCAATCCTCAAGTCAAGGGATCACTCACTTGAGAAACCTAATCATGTATACTTCAGTCCTCAAAATGAAAGTTACATGGTTAGTAGGTAATGATAACAACAAATGACTTGTAGATCAATCATAATTTTTTTCTCTCTGCTACTCTTATGAGTATTTTTTCCTAGTCGTCCAATAGAAAAACCTTCATTTATATTAATATGGATGGCTCATAGAACTTGATAACGTTTAAATCTTGTTTTTCCAATTTCTATGTTCCTTAAGTTAGTCATGATCATAATAAAATAGAAGAATTGGGAAGATGACAAGATGGCTTAGAAGCATTCAAGAGGTGGAATTTTAACGATCAAATCATGAAATAATATATTGAATAATAACAACAAACATAGTTGAGGCATACAAATGTTACTTTAGTATCTTATGACACTCCATTTGTATATTTACTATGAATATCTTATATTTTATTTTTTATTCGTAGATTCATTGAGACTTAAATATAATTACTCATGCATCAACTTAAAAGGCACTTGATAATCCTAATGGATGTTTTGTCACTTTAGAACCTCCATTTTTAGGTTCATCTTCTTTTACAAAATTTAGATGGTTGTGCATGACTTAATGGATTCATTTTTTTCTTCAAAAAACAAAAGAATCATGAGTTCATATATTTAATAATTTATGTTCTTTCATTAATTCCTCATAAATTTGTATAATAATCGAATTTATACTCTCAAAGTGAATGTGTACAATACGTGTTAGTGTGGCATTTATGACTTTTACTACATGTCATGCCTTTGCTAAAGTCATTAATGTATGTAAAATTACGATATAATTTTTTAAATTGCAAGATTTTAGAATTATGGTTCTATTTTTATTGTATAATAACTAAAAGCATAATTCTGGTATTTAAATTATCATTTTAACTAAATATATAGTATTTATCTTTCTTTAAGAGAGTTTATAATTTTTAAATACATTTTTATTACAATATTATTGTGTTATGTATATACGATTATAAAATTAAATTAAAATAAAAATAATTGTTTTTATGCCATCATAATATTACAAAGTAGACGTAAGGTTAGGGATGTGCTCGGGCTCTTCCCATACACTTTTGTCATCTTGGATGTGCAGGGCACTCATATAACGTTTGCATGCAGCGTCGTGTAAGTGTAGGAGTAGGAGCAGCAGACTCCTCGGCAGGTCGGGAAGGTCATGATTAATATTATAAATATTTAATGAAGTTTTGTATCTATTTTCGAATTTAATTCGGAAAATTTTGACTTTCTTAGTCAAACCCAGTAATCGGTAAGAATTATTTTATAGAATAAGATAATTAAATTTTTTTTAATCTTTAGCACAAAATTTTTTATTACGAGCATAAATAAAAATGAAGATAAATATTTTAATTTAAAATTTCAAAGATACTGACAAACTTTCCAATTAATCTTTCAGGGAAACAAATTTCAAAAAACGATATAAACGTAGGAACCAATAGGAGGAGGCTGTCAGAAGAAATAGGAAACCAATAGGAAAAGGAAAACTAAACATATCAACAATTACGTGTTAAGGAAAA